CGACGTGTTCGAGCTGAGAACGGCGGATCACGAACACGCGAACATCACGCAGATTGTGGACGGCGAGACCGACGACGCGGCCTATAGATCGACCCCGACGATGAGCACGCGGATCGTCGGCGGCACCGAGGTTGACCCGCACACGTACGAGTGGATGGTTGGGTTTAACGGGTGCGGCGGGTCGTTGGTCGCCCCGAACAAGGTGCTGACCGCCGCGCACTGCATGTTCACCGATAATTGGGCGACCGTTGCCTACGTAAACTGGCACAACTCTTCTGTGTACGATCCCTCGATCACAGATGTCCTCGAGATCGATTACGCCGTGAACCATCCTTACTACGATGCTGATACCACGAATTGGGACTTCGCGGTCGTGACGTTGAAGAGTAACTCGAGGTATGAGCCCGTCGTTCTTGACTTCGACACGACCGACGTCGGCGAGGGCGCGAGCGCCGGCGAAAATTTGATCGCGATGGGCTGGGGGACAACCGAATCCGGTGGGGACCCGTCGAGTGTCCTTCTGGAGGTCACCGTCCCCGCGGTGTCGACCTCGGACTGTCAGACAAACTACGGATCAGATATTGTTCCCGAGTCGATGTTGTGCGCGGGTGAGATGGGGAAAGACTCGTGCCAAGGCGACAGCGGCGGGCCGCTCGTGCGCGCGTCCGACTTACGGCAGGTTGGCGTCGTGTCGTGGGGGGTCGGATGCGCATCCGCGGGATACCCTGGGGTATACTCCAGGGTGTCCGCGACGGAGGCAAAGAAGTGGCTGTGTACGCAGGGCGTGACGCAAGCGTGTGAGCAGCCGGCGACGAGTGCTTGGGTGTCGGTGGTGAACGCGTCGATTGAGTTGGCAATGGCGACCGCCACCGGACCTGGAAATTCCATCTCTCTATCAGGCGACGGCACGAGACTGGCGTTCGGCTCGCACGACAGTGACGAGGGACGCGGTCGCGTGCAAGTGTACGATGTCGATCGCACGAACACGACGACGACCACTTGCGATGAGACACTCGACTACGCGGAGGGGACACCAGAGCACGTGCAAAGCGCTGTGGACTATCGCGGCTGCCAGAACGTGGCTCGAAACGGTGAACCGTGCGCATATTGGACCTCTGGAGACGAAGAGTGGGCTGGCTATGCTTCGGGACCCCTTGTGGGACACAATTACTGCCGAAACCCCGATAGTGATACTACTATTTGGTGTGACGTGGTCAGCGGCGGTTGGGATTTCTGCGACCCGCTTCCCCCCACGGGCCATACACGTACGGCAGTTGAGCCATTTTTGATCGGTGACACTCTCGAAGGCGAGACTACCGGCGATCACTTCGGAACAGCCGTGTCGTTGGCAGACGACGGCTACAGCATCGCGATCAGCGGGATGTCTACAAACGGCACAGGGTACACGCGCGTGTATCGCATGAAAGACACGCCCTCTTGGATCATGATGACTGACTTCCACATGAACGTCACGATCTCGCCGTTTTCAGGGCCGTGGGTGCTTGGTCACACCTTGGCCATCTCCGGCGACGGCTCACGAGTCGTCGGCGGCACGCCGGCGCATGATTCGAACGCGGTCTCCGCGCAGGTGTACGAGCGCGCGGACGCGTGTTGCGCGCGAGACGAGCGCGTCGTCGCGCACGCGTGCGTGGCGTGCCCGAACGGCACGATGAACACGGCGCGCGACGACTGGTCGAAATCGGACACGACGTGCGGCGCGTGTTCGCGCGATTTCCACGTCCAGGACAACGCGTGCGTGGCGTGCCCGGTCGGCGCGGTGAACCCTCCCGGGGACGACTGGAGCGGACCAAACACGACGTGCGGATGTCCCGCGGATCATCACGTTCTCGATCACGCGTGCGTGCCGTGTTCCTTTGGCGAGAAGAACGACGGGGGTGATGACCCGATGGGCGCGAACACGACGTGCGACGTGCCCCCGATGAAGTTCGCCGAGGGTAACTGGACGCAGTTAGGCGATGATATCTACGGCGAGGCGGAGAGCGATGCCTCCGGAAAAGTAGTCGCGGTGTCGGGCGACGGGAAGATCGTCGCCGTCGGCGCGTATCTAAATGATGGCACTGGCACTAACGCGGGACACGTTCGCGTGTATCGATACGAATCGAACGCGTGGACGCAACTTGGCGACGACATCGACGGCGAGGCGGCGGGCGACGAGTCGTCCGGACGGTCCTCTGCTGTGTCGTTGTCGAACGACGGCATGACCTTAGCCGTCGGCGCACGTTTCAACGACGGGAACGGAGACAACTCGGGTCACACGCGCGTGTACCGGTACGAATCGAACGTCTGGTCGCAACTTGGCGAAGACATCGACGGCGAGTTCGCTGGGGATCAAGCCGGGGAATCGGTGACGCTATCGAGCGACGGCACCGTCGTGGCCTTCGGCGCTCTTCTGAACGATGGAAACGGAGAAAACTCGGGCCAAGTGCGCGTGTACCAGTACAGATCAGGCGCGTGGACGCAGATTGGCGACGACATCGACGGCGAGCACGCCGGCGACGAGTCCGGTTGGGCGGTTTCCTTATCGAGCGACGGGACGGTCGTCGCGATCGGCTCGCATAAGAACGACGACGCGGGCACCGATGCAGGTCACGTCAGAGTGTATCGTCACCACCTTGGGACGTGGACACAACTTGGCTCGGATATCGACGGCGAGGTTGGCAAAAGGTTGGCCTCTGTCTCCCTGTCGAACGACGGTACGATCGTCGCCGTCGGCGCGCGTGAAACCTCCGGCACGGATTCGGGTCGCGCGCAAGTGTACCGCTTCTCTTCAGGCGAGTGGACGCCGATGGGCGATGCCATTCACGGAGAGGCAGCCGGTGCTTGGGCCGGGCGGTCCGTGTCCTTGTCCGGCGACGGCATGATCGTTGCAGTCGGCGCGAACAAGAACTATGATGACAATGGAGTACAGACAGGTCACGCACGAGTATATCAGTACTACGCGGGCAGTTGGTCGCAGATTGGCGCTGATATTGACGGCGAGGGGTCTGGGGACCTTTTCGGGGCGAGCCTGTCCATCTCGAAAGATGGCACGGTCTTGGCCGTCGGCGGGTGGGCAAACGATGCATTCGCGATGAACGCTGGTCATGTGCGCGTGTATACGATACTGAGCGTATCAAGCTCGGACGACAACGCGACAGCCGGCAACTTGACCGAAGGCAAATGCTGCGCGGTCTTCTACGGTCAAAGCCCCGAGGAGATGATGTCCGAGCACGATTTGAACGAGCCGCCCGCGGACGTGTGCGCGTATTGCGAACCCGGGTTCATCTGCCGCGAATCCGTCCAACCCGTCGGCGACGAATCGACGTTTGCCGTCACTGGTACTGAAGTCAACACGACGTCGCGCGACTGCGTCTCGTACAATCATACGAAGGAATCGTGCATGTATAACTGGATATCCATGGAGGCGGCCCAGTTCCCGTGCATGAGCAACGAGACCGCGCAGGAGTTCCCAGAGGAGACGTGGGGCGCGAGGGACAGCATGTACGACAGCAGCACGTACGAGAACAGCACTGACGAGCACAGCACGTACGAGAACATCACGTACGATGACAGCATGTACGAGAACAACACGGACGACAGCACGTACGACAGCACGTACGACAGCACGTACGACAGCACGTACGACAGCACGTACGACAGCACGTACGACAGCACGTACGACAGCACGGACGACAGCACGTACGACAGCACGGACGACAGCACGTACGACAGCACGTACGACAGCACGTACGACATCACGTACGACAGCACGTACGACGACAGCATGGGCTACTCCTATGACTACGAATACGATTACACGTACCCGTAGAGTAGTTTGCTCGCACTTGGTCACATGTTTTGCCCGGATGGGTTAGAGCTCAGTCTTGTTGTAATCGTTTGTGATGTAAACTACTAGCTGCCACCGCAGCTCGAAATAAAAGGGGATATTAGTCTAATTAATCACTTTGTAATGTATGCTTACGTGTACTGCATCACTCGTAGGTGTCACACGTCGAGCAAATCGTCCGTGAGGCTATTCCTCGTCTGCCTCGCGCCGCCGTCGCGAAGTCTCGACGGCGTCCCTCGGACCGGCGTCCCCCCCACGACCGGCGTCGCCCTTCCCGACCCCCCTCCCGGCGTCCTCCGAGACGGCGTCTGAATTCGTCCCGAGTACGACCCGCGCAGCGCGGCGTCGAACCCGCCGCCGAGCGCGGGCGTTCGGTTCCCCCCGGGGTTTCGCGCGGGGGAGGGCGACGCCTTCCCCGCGCGTCCGAAGCCGCCGCCGCCGTGCGTCAACCCCCTCAACACCTCGTCCCGCGCCGGCGTGCGATTCACCTTAAACCTCGACCCGGGCGTCCCCCCTACCCCGCCCCATCCGCCGATGTCCACCGGCGTCTCCTCCGCGTCTAACAATATTGGCGTCGACGCGATCTCGCCCCACGTGAAGGCGAGCTCCTCCGGGTCCGGCGCGACGTCCGGCGTCCGCACGATCTCGTACCCGCGCGCGTCGCGAACGCGTCCGCCCCCCGCGGCCGCGGTCTCCATCGCGACGCGCGCGCCGGGGTCGACGATCGCGCCGCGCGTCGGCGTCGGCGTCGGCGCGGGCGCGCGCGGCTGCATCACGAACCTCGTGTTCCTGGCCACCGTCTCCTTCGGCGGCCCTTGCGCGCGTCGCGACGCCTCCGCGACGCTCAACGCGACGCCGTCGTTGACGTAGTACAGATCGTTCTTCGCTCTGAACGGGTGGAACGTCAGCGCGCGGTCGACGCCGTCCTCGGTGCCGGACCCGTCCGTGACGGTCGTCGACGCGGACGGGAGCGCCTTGACGTCCGCCGACGCCGACGAGGACCGCGTTTGTTTTTGTTCTTCGTCGTGCGTCTCCTGTTGCTGCCACGCGTATCGCGCGCGCTTCGCCGCGTTCGCGCGCTCCAGCGCCTCCGCGAACGACGCGTTGTCTTCCGAGGTGTACTTGTTCAGGAACCCGTCCAGGCTGAGCTTCGAGTCTGCGTTCGCCGTCGTCGTCGCCGCCGTCGCGTCGCGGTCGCCGACGGCGCCGCGCGCGCGGTCGTCGTGGTCGCGGTCGTGGTCGCGGTCGTCGTCGTCGTCGTCGTCGCCCCACTCGCTCCCGCCCATCGATCTCGGCGTCGCGGGCTCCGAACGAAGCCCCGTCGCGCGCGCGGCGCCGCCGCGAATCATCGGGCTCGGCGTCGACCCGGTCCCGCCGCTGCCCCCCAACGACGGCGTGCTCAGCGCGCCGCCGGGCGTGCCGAGGCGTTCGCGCTGCCGGCGTTGAATGTTCGCCTGCGCCGCGCGGACGCGCGCGGGATCGCCGCTGCGCGTCGCCTCGAGCCACTCGAGCTTGTCCTTCAGCTTCGGGATGTCCGGGAAGTAGTCGCGCGTGATGATCCCCTCCAGCCTCGCCGTCCACTCGTCCTCGTCGAGGACCTCCGCGCGCTTCCGCGCGGGCCTCGGCGCGGGCGGCGGCATCGCTCTCGCGGACGCCGCGGACGCGTCCACCATCGCGCCGACGCGCGCGGGGCGCGCGGACGAGAGGACGCCGCTCGCGTCGCCGGCGGAGGAGGCGTCGCGCTCGGACGTGCCCGCCGCGCCGCCGCCGCCGTCCGAGGCCTCCATCGCGAGATCGCCCCTCTCGCTCGGCACTACTCAAGAATGTCTGTCGTCCTCCGCGCCGCGCCGCGCCGGGCGTCTACGTCTTCTCTCATCAACCGCGCCGCATTCCGCTTCCGCGGCGATGTCGAGGCGGGGTCAGGATTCGTACTCGTGTACTTTTCGGGTGTAGTTTCGTATGAAAACCAGTCAGGCCGATGCTCGAACCGAGCTCGATTTCGACTTTCGAAAGCAAAAAGTGGGTCAACTGGAGTGATTTTTTTGCGTTGAAAAATTGAGTTTCACCGATGCTCGAACCGAGCTCGGTTCTCGAAACAGGAAAAACGCTTCGTGAAATCTCAGCCTTTCCGCAGCTCCTCTTCTTCCTCTCTTCCGAGCATTCCCGCGCTGGCGGCGCGGCTTGGCAATTTGCCGTCGCGTCGTCGCGCCGGCTCGCCCTTTCCCTGCCGCGCGCGGACGCATAAACCTCGAAAAAAACAAAAAAAAGATGTCCGCTCCCGCCGCTCCCGCCGCTCCCGCCGCTCCCGCCGCGCCCGCCGCGCCCGGCGGCGCCCCCGCCCCGGGGAGCAACCTCAGCGCGACGTCGCTCTACTGCGGCGACCTCGACCCGTCGTGCACGGAAGCGCAGCTCTACGAGCTCTTCAGCACCATCGGTCCGGTCGTGAGCATCCGCGTCTGCCGCGACCTCATCACGCGTCGGTCGTTGGGGTACGCGTACGTGAACTTCCAGCAGGGGAACGACGCCGCGAGGGCGATCGACGCGCTGAACTTCCAGGTCGTGAACGGGAAGCCCATCCGCATCATGTACTCCCAGCGCGATCCCGCGTTGCGGAAATCCGGCGTCGGGAACATCTTCATCAAGAACCTCGACAAGGAGATCGATAACAAGGCGCTGTACGACACCTTCGCGCAGTTTGGCAACATCGTCAGCGCGAAGGTCGCGACGGACCTTCAGGGTCAGTCCAAGGGCTACGGCTTCGTGCAGTTCGACACCGAAGAGGGCGCGCAGTCCGCCATCGAGAAGGTGAACGGGATGCTCTTGAACGACAAGCAGGTGTACGTCGGCCCGTTCCAGAAGCGCAACGAGCGCGGCGGCGGCCCGACGACGTTCAACAACGTGTACGTGAAGAACCTTCACGAGTCCGTCACCGAGGAGAAGCTTCGCGAGGTGTTCGAGAAGTTCGGCGCGCTGACGTCCGTCGTCGTGATGAAAGACGCGGAAGGCAAGAGCAAGGGCTTCGGATTCGTGTGCTACGAAGACGCCGAGGCTGCGGGGAAATCCGTCGAGGAGCTCGACGGATACGACAAGATCGAGGACAAGGCGTGGGTCGTCTGCCGCGCGCAGAAGAAGTCCGAGCGCGAGGCTGAGCTCAAGGCGAAGTTCGACGCGGAGCGCCGCGAGCGCATGGAGAAGATGGCCGGCGCGAACCTCTACATCAAGAATCTCGAGGACACCGTCGACGACGCGAAGCTCCGAGAGCTGTTCGCGGAGTTCGGGACGATCACGTCCTGCCGCGTCATGCGCGACACCGCGGGGGCGAGGTACGCCGCGGATTCATTTCGTCGCGAGTGTTTTCTGTCCGTTCGCGCGGCGCGGGCGCGGGCGCGCGCGTCCTCGACGCGTCGTCGCCGCGTTCCGCGCGCGACCCGACGCGCGAATTATTTTCGCAATTCTCGCGGGAACGCGGCGCGAACCGTTTTTTTTTCCGGCGGAGGCGGAAGTCTCCGCTCGCGACCGCGTCTCCGTCCGACTCCGACTCGCCCTCCCAGATCCCTCGACTGACGCCGCCTCCCCTCTCCTCCTCCTCCCCCCCTCCCTCTCTCCCTCTCGCAGCCGCGGCTCCGCGTTCGTCGCGTTCTCTTCCGCGGATGAGGCGACGCGTGCGGTGACGGAGATGAACGGCAAGATGGCGGGTCAGAAGCCGCTGTACGTCGCGCTCGCGCAGCGCAAGGAGGACCGCCGTCTGCGTCTGCAGGCGCAGTTCGCGCAGAGGCAGGTCGCCGCGGGCGGCATGCCGAACATGGGCCCGTACGGCATGCCCCCTCCAGGCGCGCCGATGTACTACGGGCAGCCGCCGCCCGGGGTGATGGGCCCGCCGCAGCCGCAGCCCGGGTACGGGTTCCAGCCCGGGATGCCCCCCGGGGTTCCCGGGCGCCCGATGGGCCCGGGCGGACCGAACATGCAGTACGTCATGCCGATGCCGCAGCGCGGCCCCCCCGGCCAGCGCGGCCGCGGCGGACGCGGCGGCCCCGGCGGCGGCCGCGGCGGCAGAGGCCAGCAGGGCATGCGCTTCCCGAACCAGGGCCGCGAGATGCCGCCGGCGCCGCTTCCGCCCGGCGAGCCCCAGGACCCGGTGTCTCTGCTCGCGGCGCAGCTCCCGACGGCGACGCCGGACCAGCAGAGGATGCTCCTCGGCGAGGCGCTCTATCCGCTCGTGGACGCGGTCGAGCCGGCTTCCTCCGCGAAGATCACCGGCATGCTTCTCGAGATGGACCACTCCGAGGTGCTTCACCTCATCGAGTCCCCGGAGGCTCTCCGCGCGAAGGTGCAGGAGGCGCTCGCGGTGCTCAAGGCTGCGGCCGCGGAGGAGGGCAACTAAACGTCCGTCGCTTTAGGCGAGGCGGCGCCGGCGTCGGCGCCGCCGGGTTTCGGGTTTGGGTTTGGGTTTGGGTTTGGGTTTGGGACGGGGGGGGGTTAGGAAAAACGATTCTTCGGCCTCGGCGATTCGTCGTCGACGGCGGCTGGCGAGCCCCTCGGTCGCTTCGAACGCTTCGCGCGTTCCGAGCGGCCGCGGAGAGGGGCACTGTGCCGTCGATCGGCGCGAGGTTCATCGCGCGGGGCCACCGCGCGCGGCCGTCACTATTTTTTCACGACGAGCCGCGGCAAACGCACGCGCGGCGCGCGCCCGCGAGCGGGCGAGGAGGGAGACGCGTACGACGCGCACGACGCGCACGACGACCGACGACGCCGACGACGCGATCACGCGCTCGGCCTTTCTCGGCATTCTCTGCTACTCTTTTCGACGCTCGCGGGTGCGCGACCGCACTTAGCAACACTACAAACTAGCGCCGTTCCCTCGCGGGGGCTGCTGTCGACGCGCGTCGTCGACACGCGGCGAGACGCGACTGGAACGGATTCACTCTCGGCATGCTGGTGCGAGCACGGGGGCGGTTTTATTAGAACCCCGTGTGTACGCCCGATGACAACCGATGATTGAGAGGACGGACGCCTTCGCGGCGTCGGTCGGTCTCTCAAACACACACACACGCAAACGACTGCGGGGCGACGGGGGCGACGGCGGCGGGCGGGGGAGGACTCTCGAACGAGACTCCCCGCCAACACGAAGGTTTCAAGCACTGTCTTTTCGCACATAAAAAAATGTTAGTACTGCACGCGCAGAACTGCTGTCCATAAAAACGAGTAAAAGATCAAACGACGTCTCGCGCTTCGCGCTCGCTCCCTCCCTCGCGTTTTCCTCAACGGCTCGAAAGGATATCCACGGCCGCGGCGACGTCGCCGCCCGCCGCGTCCAACGCCCGCCGCGCGTCCTCGCGCGCGAACCCCATCTCCACGAGCGTCGTCGCGTCGTCCGCGCCGCCGCCGGCGTCCGCGGCGACCGCGGCGGCGGCGACGGACGTCATCGCCGCGGGCGCCACCTCCATGCTCTCCAACTCGTCGTCGCCGTCCGACTCGGCGGCGGCGCGGACGACGCGACGACGCTGGTGGAGATGGGGTTGGCGCGCGAGGACGCGCGGGGGGCGTTGGACGCGGCGGGCGGCGGCGTCGCCGCGGACGCGGATATGCTTTCGAGGAGGTGAGGAAAACGCGAGGGAGGGAGCGGGCGCGAAG